AGCCATGAGGTGTGTTGTAAATAGTTTGTTTCTAATAATAAATTACTCAAGTTTGTGAATGATTTACCTATTATTATACAGAGGGTGAGCTGTAGGCTGTTTCTTTCATAATGTTATTCTCAGTTCTGTGTACTTCAATTTTGTTGCCTGTAGAGCACAGATACAGGTGAAGGTTTAGTTAACATGGAAATAATTGGATATACCTACAGACCACTCATCTATTTGAAAAATATTTGTAAAGCACCTACTTCGTGCAGATGCTATGCCTGGCCTGAGAGACACAATAAATGCACACAACAGACATGAGTTCTGTCTTTGTAAAGCTTACCAACTGGCAGGAAAAACTATACCAAGCACTTTGCTTGAATCTTCACTGTAACCCTAAGAGGTTAATATCGTCTTCCCAACTTTATACATTTTAGGCAATTCTGAAGCCCTTTCTCTAAACCAGTGGCTTCCGCATGCCTTTGACCATGCATTCCTGTCAGTGAAGATAATTTTAGTACTCGTGTGTGTGTTTTCAAACAAGTATACATTTGTATATACTTATATATACACATATGCACATTCTTATAAATTATATCTACATTATTTGAATCTTCTTGTACCCCTCACTTTGAAGACTAGCTCTGCCCCACTCCACCATATCACCTTGGAGTTTGTCTATGTGTAACGAGAATAATCCACCTCCAATCTTCCCCCCATCTAACCCTAGGTTTTGGTCTAGATGGGTAGGGGTGGGAACTTTGCCAAGAACTTGATCTAGGAAGTTTTTTTTAAAAGCTAAAAAATAGTACAGTTTAACTTTGGTCTTTGTATTGCAAAGGATGCTTTGCAGAATTCCTTGATGAGTTTTTCATATGCAAAAGAAGGTTATTCTGTTAGTTTGTAAATCCTAGTCACTTCCCTTGTGTTCTCTTTCCTGGCTGGATCTGAAACACCTCAAAAAAAGAGTGCATGTCTCGTACATCTATTTCAACTCCCCACAGTACCCAATACATGACTGAACATGTCAGAAATTCACCATCCTTTGGAGAAGACTTTGTTTCTCACTGGAAAAAGCAGAGAGATTTTTTACATCCATTGTAGCAAAAGAAAACTATCCTATGGAAACAAATTGTTCCTAGACACAGTAGAGAGGAAGTCCCTGGGCATAGAGGGCTGGAAAAATGCAGCAGGTAGCCTTGTGATGAATGAGGCCACAGAGAGAAAGCCAAGGTCCACAGGGAAGGTGAGAGTTGAGAAAATGAATCAACAGATTAGTCCTTCTGTCTCTCTGCCCACTCTGGCTTTAAATTATCCAAACTTCTTCTTTTTTTTTTTTTTTTTTTGAGAGAGAGAGAGAGAGAGAGAGCTCTGATACCCAGGCTGGAGTGCAGTGGTGCCATCTTGGGTCGCTGCAGTCTTGATCTCCTGGGCTCAAGGGATCCTCCAACCTCAGCCTGCTGAGTAGCTGGGACTACAAGCGTGTACCACCACATCTGGCTAATTTTTGTATTTTTTGTAGAGACAAGGTTTCACCATCTAGCCCAGGCTGGTCTCAAACTCCTGGACTCAAGCAATCCTGCCTCAGTCTCTCAAAGTGCTGGAGTACATGCTTGAGCCACCACCTTCAGCCCAAACTTCTTTTCCTCAGTGGAGGTGCCTCTACTGAACTACCAGAAAAATGGCTGCAAATCCCTCCTTGACTTGATACTGCCAACACCTCTGTGTCAGCTGACCCTGTGCTTGGTTGTCATCTGCATTCCTGATTCTACAGACAACACCTTGGAGCATCAGCCTGGGGGTAGGGGGTTCTAATTCTAGCCCAGCCACTAACTTCCTTGGAGGTACCAGGCCTCACCTGCTCACCTGCAAAAAAGGAGCAGTGGAGTAATTAATAAATTGCCAAGGACCTTTTGGCTATGGCAGGTTTGACCCTGCATCTTTCTTTGTTCCTGATCTTTCCTTTCCCCTCATTTCCAGCCTGAACTTCTTGAATGAGAAAATCAGGGATAGGAGGATTTGTCCTGAAAAACCTCCTGTGGTTACAGCATTGCTACTGATCAGGGAGCTGCAGCAGGAAGCTTAACAGGGGGTTGAGGCCTATCCTTTCACAGGTTGTACTCACATGCCCCATTTGCTAACATGTTTTCCAACCAACATTTCAAGTAACTGTCCCCACGTTGATGCTTCTACAAGTCAGGGTCTGTTCTGCACTCTTTAGAAAGAACGTAAACCGTGACAAATGGTCTCAGTTCAGGCATATGGTGATGCATTGACTTCCTAGTTGCTGGGGTGTATTAACAAACTTATTGCCCCCAAATGTAAAAAATAATGAATTTGTCACCATGCATGGAACGTTGACAATGTGAAACACATTAGATGTGTTGGATCTTCAGAGCCATTCTTAATTTTTAGTAGAACATTACCTTTTATTTCCTTAATTTTAAGGGAATTTCGATTGCATTGCCCCTAAAATCTTTTTTTAAGATGGTCGCAGTAATTAGGAATTAATGTGTGTGGTTTTTTTTTTTTCTTTTTTCTTAAGTGAGTGTATTCATTAGAAATTGTGCTCAGCTATGGCTAACAGCTACAGTGGTTGAAATATCAAGGGAAGTTTGCTCTCTTTCTTTCACTCTGATGTTGAAAAAAAGTGGCTGAATCAGATGTAGTGGCTCCAACATGCCCCTAATATTACAGGCACCTTTGTTTATGCCCTATCAGGTTTACTTCATCCTTGAGGTTGTCTTCTCATTAAAGATTGGCTGTTCCAAACCTTACATCTGAGTTCGAGGCCAGGAAAGGAGAAGGAGGGCATAGGCAAACAGGCACAACCCCATTTAGTTAGATGAGAGACCCACCCAGCAATGTGTGCTTACGTTTCATTAGCCAGAACTTAATTGAATGTCTACTTCTATCTGCAAGGAAGACTGGAAGGTATAGATTTTTGCTGGTCACATTGACATTTCCAACAAAATCAGGGTTCTACTAGAAAGGAAGAGGGAGAGAATGAATTTGGAGTAGACAGCCGCCCTAGTGGGGTTGTTTTTCTTTCTAAAATTAATACACATTTGTTAAGCAAACTTGAAAAACGGAGTGAAGGAAAAGAAAGAGAAGATAATGATGATATTAACTCCTCAAAGTGATCTCTACCAGCATTTAGTGTAATTCTTTGCTTATTTTTTATTAATATTTGATGTTTTTTTTTCTGATTTTTTTTTTTTTTTTTTTTTTTTTTTTTTTTTGGTGGAGGAGAGAGTCTTGCTCTGTAACCTAGGCTAAAGTGCAATGGTGCAATCATGGCTCACTGCAGCCTCAACCTCCCAGGCTCAAGTAATCCTCCCACTTTAGCCTCCTGAGTAGCTGAAACTTCAGACATGCACCACTACATCAGGCTAATTTTTTATTCTTTGTAGAAATGGGGTCTTACTGTGTTGCCCAGGCTGGTCTTAAACCCCTGGTCTCAAGAGATCCTCCTGTCTCAGCTTCCTAAAGTACTGGGATTACAGGTGGGAGCCGCAGTGTCCAGCCTAGTTGTATTTTTCTGATTCTAAAAGTAATGCCTATTCACTTGGGAAACTGAGAAAATATAGCAAAGTATAGAAAAAAAAATAGAAACCACCCGTAATCCCATTACCCATATTATACTATGTCACTTTGCTGCATTTTCTGCTGTTCTAAGTACACATTTTATGTATTTATGATCATAGTGTATGTACAAGTTGACACCTTTTTCTCACTTTCTAAATAAAATAAGTAAATTTACATATGACCCTACTTCGTGTATCCCTGGGTCCTCATAACAGAGCATTTCAAATCTTGGTTGCAGATCTGTTTGGAAAATGCTTGAAGTAGGAAAGAACAAATAGCAAGGACTGATTTTCTCCGTCTCTGTTTCTGGGAGACCATACGGCAGATTTGGCTCACTTCTCACTCTCACTCTGAGACCGTATCATATGCTCTCCTTTCTTTATTTTTCTATCTCAAAAAATGTCAAGTGTACAAACCAAGAGTTAAAATTATTCCTTAGAGAACATGAGCTGTCAGGCCCATTCTTACCGTATGGCTCACAAAAGTCGGTTTTGCTCTGGCTTATAAATTCATATGATGTCAAAGCTAGAAAAAGCCCCCACGGCTTTCAATCCAAACCACTAATGTAAAAGCAAAAAGAAACAGAAATGAAAAGGGCCCTGCTCAGGATACCACCTGGCAGATTCAGTGCCAGAACCCAGGCCCCTGAATGCCTTTCTGATGATGTTCCTCTCTACTCCAGATGCTTTTGATGATACAACTAACTGGTATACTTCAAAGGTGTTACAACTTTCACAAAAATACTCATCAATAAGATTCCCCAAGATTCCCCCCAACTCAACTGCAGCCAGTTGCTAATGGTATTAACTAAAACCTAGAGATTTATAACTTGCCGAAGGTAGCTTTTCTCCAATTAGCAGTTCCATTTAATATAGTTGGATTTTTGGGTGAAAACATACACTCTAGAGAAAACAACTTTTTTCCCATCCAGTGTTCACTTGCTATGAGCTCAGACTTTTGCTAAGAGCCATAGGATTATGCTATAGAGATACAAAATTTACAGCCTGGTTGGGAAGGTGAGGGAGACACATGAACCAGTGTGGTATATTCATGCAATGGAATGCCATGCACCTGCAAATGAGGTAATCTGCATGAACTTCTAACAAAGTTTCATGGCCATGGGAATATGGCCATGAAATATTGTTCGAAGAAAACTCTGGGTTGCCGAGGAATGTGATGATCTATGTAGTATGATCTCTTTTGTGGTTTTAAAGAAAAAGGGTATATTCACACACATATGTTTTCATGTGCATAGAAAACATTTAGAAAAATACAAAACTTTTAACAGTGGCTACTCTACAGAGAATGGGTTTGAAGATGAAGAAATTACTTTTCCTCCTTTTTCACTTACACATTTCTATTTTCCTCTTTTTTTTTTTTTTTTTTGAGACAGGATCTCACTCCACCCAGGACGGAGTACAGTGGAGTGGTATCAGCTCACTGTGACCCCCACTTCCCGGGTTCAAGCAATTCTCCTGCCTCAGCCTCCTGAGTAGCTGGGATTACAGGCATGCACCACCGCACCCAGCTAATTTTTATATTTTTAATAGAGAGAGGTTTCACCACATTGGCCAGGCTGGTCTCAAACTCCTAACCTCAGGTGATCCACCTGCCTTGGCCTCCCAAAGTGCTGGGATTACAGGCATGAGCCACCACACCCAGTCTTACATTGCTGTTTTCTAAATATAATTATGTACTGCAGTTTCCTCACTGTACATGTTGAGTAACCATGGTATCTACCACAGAGTTGTGACAATTAAGTGAGTTGGTCTAAATAAAATGTTTGGATATTTGCCAGACCCATACTAAGTGCCCATTAAACATTAGCGAAGAAGATGATGATGACAATGGTGATGATAGAAGATGATACTCTCAGACTGCTGCCAGGTGTGAGCATTCGTACAAGTTATAAGGCCATTTGATTAGATATATATGTGTACAGCCTTTAAAATTTGAAGACACTTGACCCAGCAGGTCCACTTTCAAAAATTTCTTCTATGGAAAAAATTGAATAAGTGTACAAGAAGTGTATACAAAGATGAATAAAGAAAAAAACATTGGCGACAAGCTAAATGTTCAAAAATGAAAATAGTTTAATAACATATGGTGGATTTTTACCATGGAATATTACGTCCCCATCATAGCAACAAATATACTGACACTGTAATAGGCTAATAATCATACAATATTAAGAAAAGCTACCTTCTGAACAGCGTATGCTATATGACCTCACAACAGTACAAAAACTATAATGTGCCTATGTATGTCTAGAAGCACATGTCCTAAACTTGCATGCACAGTCCTAAACCCTGAGAAATTGCAAAATTTTTCTTCTTTATGCTTGGGTAAAATTTCCAATTTTTCTAAAATGAATCTCTATTACTTGTGCAAGTGTTTGAAAGAAAGGCAAAGGGACTTTGGGGGAGCATTTCGTAATGCAGCCTCCACACTAACAGACTGCAATCAGTTTGCCTCTGCCCGGAGCCAGAGGAGATGCAAGTGCTTCCAGCCTGCAAGGATCAAATGGGCGCATTTTTCCAGTCTCTACTGCAGAATCAGCAGACATGGGACTAGTGTCCTGGCCTGACCCAGGAGACTGACTTTGGGATGTTGGCTGAAGGCCACAAAAGTAAATACCTAAGGAAAACCGGGCCATGTCATTACCATCAGCCAACCTAAAAAAGGTTTAATTTTCCAAGAATTGAAGGTGTAATTTCCAAGAGTCTAGGGCAGACAGAGACAGCTACTCACCTCACCTCTTACTGGGGTTTTCAGAAGTTTCTAGCAGCTTCCCTCCAGACTCAGCTAGCAGCCTTGTTTGAGGCTGGTCCAGAATCCACACTCCCTGTAGGCTCCTTTTAGCCATTTGCCAGGGAACAGCAAAGGCTGTCAGCAGCACTCCTCCAAGCATCTCCTAATTTCTCAAGGCAGAAAGGAACTGGAATTTTACTTAAGCCATTCTCTCCTTTCTGTGATGTTTTCTAGGCTCCCCATGGGTGATACGGCTGGAGGGAAGAAGGAAAAGCCCCCAGAGAGCCGAACTTCCCATTTACCCGCAAGGACTGACCCAGGCATGCCTCAATTTCTACAAAGGCCCCCACCCATATATTCAGGCTTCATTTATTGCTATCCTCCTCCGTCTCTCTCTGTTCTGGTGTTTCTTGGGTAATCTCAGTTTCTTACGTAAGCCCACCCCTTTTGTAGCCTCTGGAATTTTTGCAGGCAACTGCAGGGATCAGCCGATATGCCTCCTTCTCAGCACAGTCTTTCCTCACTTTCCCCACCACTCTGGATTAGGAAACGCTGTTCTGTGACCTCATAGCACCCTGTCCTAAACTCCATAGGGTCACTTTTCTACTGTTAGAATCATTTGTTCCTGGTCTCTGTTCCCAACTCTAGTCCAAGCAACTTGCAGCCAGAGGCCATGCCTTATTCTCCTTTATATTCTCAGTGCCCAGCACATGGTATGTGCTCAACACACGTCTGTCAAATAATTAAATGAATGAGTTCATTCAGCCATTAATTGATCTTTAAATTGGTTGCAAATTATCTTCTTCTTAAAATCCAAACAATTCTGGGAATTTTCAGGCAGCTGATATTAGCTATTCTTGTTTTAGTGTGAATTCATTTGTTCGATCCCATTGCTTTCCTTTCATGTTAAAGTAAGGAACAGGGAATTGAAATTTGACTTGGAGATTAAGTTCTTAGAATGGAGAACGGTAGTTCACTTTGGGTAGAATATAGGGTAGGGTATGATGCAGACTTATGGGTAGTGAAACACCAGCCCCGTTTCTTTCTTTTTTTTTTTTTTTAAGGTGGGGTTTCACCATGATGGCCAAGCTGGTCTTGAACTCCTGACCTCAGGTGATCCACCCACCTCAGCCTCCCAAAGTGCTAGGATTACAGGTGTGAGCCACAGCGCCCAGCCCAGCCCCGTTTCTAAAAGTGTGACAAGCTACATCAAAATCACCTGAGTGCTTATTAAAAATGCAACATCCAGGCCCCAATCCAGACCCACACTGCCTAGAATCTAGTGAAATGGGCATGTGGAGCTTCATTCGTGGTCAGCCAGTTCTGATCAGAGGAATGAGAAAGGCCTAAAGTTACTAGACATTTGGGGTCATGAGGAGAGGTGCAGATAGAGGTAGGAGCCCACAGAGATGGAGAGAAACATGCCAAGGCAAACCTCATCTCCTCTGAAATTTTGTCTAAGATTCCCCGTAAAAGAAAGCTCTTTCTTGGCCAGGCGCGGTGGTTCATGCCAGCAATTTGGAAGGCCGCGACGGGTGGATCACCTGTGGTTGGGAGTTCAAGACCAGCCTGACCAACATAGAGAAATCCCATCTCGACTAAAAGTACAAAATTAGCCGGGCGTGGTGGCGCATGCCTGTAATCCCACCTACTCGAGAGGCTGAGGCAGGAGAATCACTTGAACCCGGGAGGCCGAGGTTGTGGTGAGCCAAGATCATCTGGGCAACGAAAGCAAAAATCCATCTCAAATTAAAAAAAAAATAAATAAATAAAGCTCTTTGTTTCTTTTCTTCATCTCAATTCATTGTTTTATATCACATAGAAATCAGTGCTACTCTATTCTTGGAAATTAACATTAAGCATAAAATAGTAGACTGGATAAGAATACATATGGATGCTAGAGATATGCTGCCTACCTCAAACTCTAGCTTCTGAACTCACTTGACATGTAATCTTGGGTAGCTAATGTCTCAGTGCCTCAGCTTCCTCATATGTAAAGTGGGAATGATAAGAGTAGATACCTACCTTCCAGGGCTTATGGAATTAAATGAACTACAACATATAAAGTGCTTAGAGCTTCATGTAGCAAGTACGATATATATTAGATATTAACATTACTCTGTAAATTATAGTTTAAATAGGCAAATTGTGTTCTTAGACCCAACAACCATAGAATATGTTGGTTTTTAAGATTTTTTTTTTTTTTCTGCTAGGCACAGTGGCTCTCACCTATAATCCCAGCATTTTGGGAGGCCCAGGTGGGAGGAACAATTAAACCCAGGAGTTCAACTCCAGCCGGGGCAACATAGGGAGACCTTGTCTGTACAGAAAAAAAAAAAACCTGCAGCCTGCGGTGGAACACACCTGTGGTCCCAGCTACTTAGGAGGCTGAGGTGGGAGGACTGCAATGAGCTGTGGTTGCATGACTGCACTCCTGCCTGAGCAACAGAGCAAGACCCTATCTCAAAAAAAAAAAAAAAAAAAGGAGAGAGAGAGAGAGAATGTTTCTTTTCAGATTTAGTTTTTTATTTTGATTATGACATTTTCAGATCTACTAAAAAATAGAGAAAATTATAGATATCTCCATAAAATTATCAGCAATTATCAAGATTTTGCCATCTTAGCCTAACCTATGCTTCAATAAAATATTTTAAGGAAAATCATATATATCATGTCATTTTACCCCTCTATATTTCATTATGCATCTCTAAAATATATGGATAGCTTCTCACATTACCTCAATGTTCTTACAATATCTGTGACATAAGCATTCCTTGGTATCTTCTAAACCCAGTCAATGGTACCATATTTCCCTAATGGTTGAAATCAGAATCCAAGCCAGGTCCACTCATCACATTTGGTCCTAAGGTTTCTTAGCTCTCTTTTAATCTAGAGCAGTCTTTCTTGCCTTTGCCTCATGGCATTGACTTATTGCAGAAACCAGGTCAGTCATTTTTGAAAATTTAATTTCATCTTACTAAAAACTTTTATAAAAATAAAATTATTTGCAAATGTAAAAAAAAAAAAAAAAGAAGAATGTACCACGTGCTTACAGTCACCACTCCTCAAGTTTTACATGAGACAGCCCCAGTTCATACCTTTCGCCCCAGTACAATGATGAGTAACACTCCTCTCACTCTTCGTTGCCTTCCCATTGGGAGTTGGTCTATTTGTTTTATTCCCTGATTTAATTTATTCTATCTGCCATATTTCCAATGCATTGACATTAGCTAAAGACTTGATGCGGCTTCATCTTTTTTGATAAGAATTCTTCCTAGACGGTTCTGTTTGCTGTAAATATCTTTGTACTTGGAGGTTTACAATGTCTGATTGTCCCACTTTTAGTGATACTCAAATTGATGAGTGAATTCAAGGAATGTCCGCATGATCAAACCACTGTAAAGTTCTTCATCTACCTTGCATCTCGTGGTTTCATTTCTTGTTGACAATTACCTGAATTGATTATTACAATCGATGTTAGAAAACAGTTCTAGCTCTATGAATCCTTCCATATTTGTTGGCTGGAATTTTTTTGTAAAGGAGAACTTTCCCTCCTCAATTAGGGCTTGGTTATCCTGCAGGATAATACGCACAGGAAGAACTGAATAAATGCTTAACTCTTTCCTTTTAATGGTCAGTTTTCAGAATGGGAAGTTGAAACCTTAGTTACTTCCAGTGGCGTCCAACTTACTAATTTTTTTAGGTTTTTTTTGGTTGTTTGTTTTTCGGTAGGGTAATTTTTTCTGTTGAAAAAGGTTTGGATCATTATAAATTCATGGTTTCTTATATGTTAAGCTTAAATACATTTATAAAACAAATTATCCTCATAAATTAGGAGCAGTCTATATTAGTCAGGGTTCTCTAGAGAAACAAAGCTAGTAGAACTGTGCAGAGAGGAAGAGAGAGATTTATTTTAAGAAATTAGTTCACATAGCCTGGGCATGGTGGCTCATGCCTATAATCCCAGCACTTTGGGAGGCCGAGGCAGGCGGATCACTTGAGATCAGGCATTCAAGACCAACCAGCCTGGCCAACCTGGTGAAACCCATCTCTACTAAAAGTACAAAAATTAGCCAGCATGGAGGTGCATGCCTGTAATCCCAGCTATTCAGGAGGCTGAGGCTTGAGAATCCCTTGAATTCAGAGGTGGAGGTTGCAGTGAGCCAAGATCATGCCACTCCAGCCTGGGTGACAGAGCGAGACTCCGTCTCAAGAAAAAGGAATTCGTTCACACAACTGTGGGGGCTGGCATTTCTGAAATGTGTAGGGCAGGCAGGCAGAGTAGAAGCCCAGAGGAGAGTTATTGCAGCTCAAGTCCGAAGGCAGTCTGAGCCTCAGTCTTTGTCTCTTGAGGCTTTCAGCTGATTAGAGAAGGCCCATCCACATGACGGAGGGTCATCTGCTTTACTTAGACTACTGATTTAAATGTTAATCTCATTTCAAAAGTACCTTCCTAGCAATATTTAGACTGGTGTTTGACCATGTATCTGGGTACTGTGACCTAACTTAACTAATGAACTGTTACACTGTCTCCGTATTTTTAAATAACAATAACATCTCCGGGTAGAAAATGCAAAAAGTAGTAGAATCAATTCTTACTGTGAGTGTTCATATATGGGAGAGAGCACTCAGGCTGAACCAAACAAAAAGCATTTGAATTTGTGATTTCTGAATGTTCTGCTGGTTTTCACGCTAGACAGAGCTGACAAAAAATGCCCCTGGCTCTGCTACTTCCTGTGTAACCTTGAGGAACTCACATTAGTTCAATGAGCCTCAGAACCTTCGTGTAAAAACAAGGATAATAGCATCCATTTGGACTGCCATTTGACAGCCAAGAGTTTGTGCACATTTTGAAGTCTCTGTATGTTACACAAATATGTTATTAGACTACTTTTGTTAAGACCCAATGAACCAGAGTGTCAAACAAATGTGCTTTGAAGCTATAGTCACGAGTGTAATGCTGCATTACGGTGTTCAATGACTTTCTCTTCATTTGACAGAGACCATTACTCTCAGGTCTCACATTTTAAGAAAAGGGAAAGTTGTTATTCTCCTAAGGGAAAGAGTAAGAGTACTAATTTTCCATATGAATGCCTCTATCAGTATTCAGTATTAGGGACTACAGTGTTCACCCTGTAGGCCCTAATTAGCTATGTCAGCAATGTAACAATAACAAATGCAAAAGATAAGTAAAGGTAGTTATCAACGTAGTGATAACAAATGTGAAGGCTTTCTCTGTCATTCATTCAACAAGCACTTATAAAAGGCCCACTAAGTGTGAAAGACTATGCCAGGTGCTATTGAAGACACAGAAATGAATCAAATCCAGATTCTGTCCTCAAGCAAATGACAGGCTATTAAGAGGAAGAAACCATAATTAAAGAGGAAAAATCTATAAGATTTGAATTTAAAAGTACAATGAGATCATTAGTAACAGCCTATGGAAGTCTGGAGGAGGAGAGATGAGTTTCAGTTGTAGGTTCCAGACAACTTCTTGGACAAGTTGGCACACCGAAGCTAGACTAAAGAATAGGAATACATTTGGACCTGTAAGATAGGCAGCGTGGGGCAGGTGAAAGGTGGGGGGAACGTTGTGGATGTGGTGGGAGTATAAGACCATTGAAGGTCCTACAAAGTAGGAAGGAAGTGTGGACATATGCTATGTGTGGCAATCAATGAATTCTTTTCTTTGCCTCTAACTTCTTTCTCTGCAATTTTAGAAAGGATCTTAGGATTCATCTAATACTGGAATGGCAAAAAGTCTTCCTCTGTCTAGTTCACTAACTTCAAGTGATGGGTAACAGAATGTCACACCTGGCTGGTTAGCTCAATAGAGAGGGTAACTGTCCTATACCACTTCATAAATAAAATTCTTATTAAAATCATGATGGACACAGTGACACATGCCTATAATCTCAGCACTTCGGGAGGTCAATGCAGGAGAATTGCTTGAGTCTAGGGGTTTGAAACAAGCCTGGCAACATAGTAGGATCTCATTTCTATAAAAAAATTAAATTAAAAAAATAAAATTAGGCATAGTGGCATATGCCTATAGTCTCAGCTACTTGGGAGGCTGAGGTGGGAAAATCACATGAGGCTAGGTGGTCGAGGCTGCAGTGACCCAGGATTTTACCACTGCACTCCAGCCTGGGCAACACAGTGAGACCTTGTCTCAAAAAAATAATCATTATTATTATGATGCTTTCCAACTCTAAAACTCTGTGATTCCTAGAAGCCAAATCTTGTCTGGAAGTTTTAAACATTTTATCTAGAATAAATAAATAAATAAAATTTTTCTTAGCTAGAATACTTACACTCATGCTTCCTAAACACAAAATACAGAATTTAATCTAGACTTCGCGATGATTCAGACTGGTCATCACTGAAAACAGGAGGGATTGTACTGTGCTATTTCACAGCATTGCCAGGATCCATGGAGGCACAGAGGATTATTTACTCTTAAATTTAGTGGCTCCAAAATGTTCTTTTCTTGTTATATATAGTGTTTTCTTTTTCTTCTACCTGGTTGTCGGGCATTTAAGCTCTCAGATTTCAGTGCTTTCAGTATATCTACCTATTTTGCCCCATTTTTGTTCTCTCTGCTGTTCCTATTCTACTTGAAGGTTGGAAGTTGCATAATGAAGTTCTGTTAGAATTACACATAAAATAAGAGTAAATAAGCTCTGAGTATGAGTCTAAGAGGATTGTCTACATGTAAAGTATCTTAAACCTTAGTGCCATCTGGTCTGGCTGTTTAATTAAAAGCGATGTGTGTGTGTG